TTTCAAAATCTGAGATCATATGATCTTTAAAAAAATTTTTTTTTGGTACTGGGGATCGAACTTGGGACCTTGTGCTTGCGAGGCAGGCAGTGGCAGCACTGAGCTAAATCCCGGCCCATAAAAATGTTTTAAACCAAGAAAGATAGGCAAAAATTTAGTTGTCATCTGAACTAAGTTGCAAAATTTCTTTAAAATAGAATTTTGATTGTTGAAAATTTATTTTTAAAAGATTATTAGCTAGTTGAACTTTAAAAAATTGTTATCAAAGAAAAGAATTGTTATCAAAGAATGACAGTAGGCTGGATCATTTTTCTTTTTCCTTTTTTTATGTGACAAATACTGTAGTTGGAAATGGTGGTAAAAACTGCATTTGCAACCAGATACTTGAAATTTATTGCTAGTAGAGGAGTAGTCTGCTGATTAATCTATATGTAAACAGACTTAAAAGTGAAGTCTCCTATTGTAAGACTAAAAGAAAGAATCTTAATGGTCTTAGTAATAATAAGGCCAAATCTAAATATTTGATTTAAAGACTGCAAAAAACTAAATAAGCACAGGGCATATATCATAGGAGGATACTGCCACCTTGTGTATTTGCGACGCTATTTTATGTCTCCATTTTGTTACACCAGCTGATAATGCTTTTGCACCATTTTGTACCATGATCAGATGTGTAAATGTATGAAAAGATTTGTTTTACTTTTTTATGCATAAAGTTAAGCAAACTTTTTTTTGTTTTGTGTTAGGAAGGGTCTTGTATTTTGAAGACATTAAATTTGGTGTAGTTAGCTCAAAGAATTAGAATGGCTGAGAGATCATACTGGTTAATTAACCTCTGGGATTAGTTAAGAATTGCATCCTTTTGTTTGAATCTTATCTATAGTTGGAGATTCTTTTCTTATTCATTTCAGTGCTTGCAGTGCTTTAGGATTGTTCTGAATGGCAGAATTCATTACATTATAGGTAGGTATTAGGGTATCTGGCTTATTGACATAGCCATTATTTTCATTTTTAAATGTTTTTCTTCAGGTCAAATGCAGGATGACTACAATAATAACATTAATGGTGTTTTGAAAAATATTGATATGGTGAAAAAAGGTCTCTTCAATTATTTTGGTTACCTGAGGGGATGACTTAGTGGGGGGTTCAGATATTGCTTCTTAGGAGATGAAGATTCATTCAGGCTTGTATGCTCACAGCTGCTTCAGTTGTGTGACCAGGGTTCTTCCCAGAACACTTTTTTTATTTGATAAAGAAGCAACTGAGCTGGGTGGTAAGGATCTTTTCAGCGTTTGGATTCTATAATGTATAAAATGTTACTCCACTTTTAAAATATTAATGCTAGGGAGCTGAGAATGAAGCTCAGTGGTAACGTGCTTGCCTAGTATATGTGAGACCCTGGATTTGATTCCCCAGCACCACCACCACCACCGGAAAACAAAAAAGATGTTAATGTAACAACTTTCAGTGTACTCATTATACTGTTCTAGGGGAAGTTATTTTAAAATTTAGTGTAATCATATGGTTTAACTATTGATAGTATAAATAATTTGAAGGAATACATATGTATAAAAGTTTAAAACTAAAACCCTAGGAAATTTACCCACTTTCATCTAATAATACCTGAGGTACTTGGAGGCACCAGAAAATTGGTTGGGAGATAATTTACATTTTAATTATATACCTTTAATTGTATTCTCTGTTGGGCGCAGATGTTTCAAATACCTACCTTTCGTCTTCTAGGATGACCCTTAAAGTTGGTATAGGTAAGGGGCCTGTATTGTAAGTGTGCTTTCTGTTACCATAACAAATACCTGAGAGGAAAATCAACTCAATAAGAGGAAGGGTTTATTTAGCTCACAGTTTTGGAAGTTTCAATACATGACTGATTGGCCTTGTTGCTTTGGGTCTGTGGTGAATCTGTATATCAGGGGAGAGAACTTATACCTAATGGCTGGAACAAAGAGAGAGAGGAAGAGACCAGAGTTCCAAAATTCCCATTCCAGGGCATACCCCCAGGGAAATCTGAAATCTCTCCCTAGGCTCAGTCTCTTAAAGGAGCCAGAGCCTCCTGGTAACAATACAGCTTGGTGGCCAGGGCTTAACACTTGGGCCTCTGGGGAATTTCCAGATCCTGAGTGTGGCAATAAGGAAGAATTTTCTCATTGGGGTGAGAAAGAGGAAAGGTGCATTAGCCTACACTTGAACAGTTGGAAATTCTTTCTGATATGACTCAATTTGGAAATATAAGGTCAAAGATGTTTCACTATGAAATCTCTTCATTTCATAGTGTGTAGCAGCAGATATTTCCTGCTCATTTGATTCATTTCCTCATGCTGTGCTAAGAGAGCTTTTGTGACTAGGTTTAGCTTTTTACTTTGAAGACATCTAGGAATAATGTTTTCAAATTCTAGGAATAATTTTAAGGAAAATATTCTTCATTGTTAATCTGTGTACACATGCCAAATTTAATATATGATTTCCCAGTGCTTCGATGTTGTAATACCAAAGCAAAATGGCTACTTTGGTAATTTTGCATTTATTTTGTATAATGCCAAACTATATTTGTAAAATGCAAAAAAACCCCTCATGATGCATTTTTAAATCTACTAATTAATAAATGCATTCATATGTAAAAATCTGTGCATGTATTAGAAAACGTTAAGTAAATATGTTAGTTTATTAAAATATACATTATCCCAATTAAATCATTATGGAAATGTAATAAATTAATAAATTACATTTCATACATGTGAAGACCATTTAGTCATGAGAGAAAGCAAAGTAGAAGATAACTTAATCTGCTTTTAGAACTGTAATCTTGGTGGGTATGGTATTACACTCCTAGTCCTAACACTCTGGAAGGCTGAGGCAGGAAGATCACAAGTTTTAGCAATTTAGCAAGACCCTGTCTCAAAATAAAAAATGAAACCAAAAAGGGCTAGGGATATAGCTCCGTGCGAAGGCCCTGAGTTCAACTCCCAGTAGCACACACATGCACACATCTATGAAAATGAATGTGTCCGTGGTGACATTATTCATAAGATTTTTCTGTAGAGATTTTCTTTGAAATGTTCTTCCAAACCTGCCTCTGCTGTATGGTAAGAATGTTTTGGGATTAGAAGAAAATACTGGGCATTACTTTGTGATTGACTCATCTACAGTGTAGTCTCTGGATTGATTTTCTTGAAATATTTTGAACAGTTTGTTTTTATATGAAGACTGCATGTTTAATTATATGGGGATTTAGCTTTGAAGAACATCCTAGTTTCTTTGTTTCATTTTTATGTATAGATGACATTTTAGTACACATTTAATTACCTGCATCTGGTTCAGTTGTTTTATGTTCATGTTCCACTTGTTTGAAAAGCCTTTGAACTAGAACAAGAATTATGATTATAATAAATTTGCCTGTCAATTATTATTTTTTCTTCCTTAAGAATTATGAAAACTGAAAGGACACTTTCTTTTGCGGGGCGGGGGTTGAGACAGGGTCTCACTATGTAGTTCAGACTGACCTGGAACTCACTATGTAGCCCAGGCTGGTCTTGAACTCACAGCGATCCTCCTGCCTCAGCCTCCCAAGTGCTGGGATTACAGGTGTGCGCCACCACGCCCGGCCCTTGAACACTTTCTAATGAGTGAATCTTTTTTACTTTTAATGTTTTTAAAGAGTTGAAGTGTCTAGCCAGTTTTGATGGCATGTATCACTGCACCTGCTATTTTTAAGATTTAATGCATCCAGTGACTTTATGGATAGAGAACAGTTTTCATCAAGTTATCTTCATCATAAACTGCATAGCTGAATTTGCAGTGAGAAAATTTACTACTAGTTCCTTTTGGTAGCCAGGATTACACCAGGGTATGCTGCGAAAACCTTTAATAAAGATGGACAGACACTATTGTTCAATGTGGTTGCTTGCTGTATTTTGTACAGTGTTTTGTACCTTTCTGTTCCTATATTGCAAAATTGAATGATTTTTTAAAATGAATGATTTTAATCAATGACTGAATTACTGATTTTTTTGAAAATGATTTTTAAAGCTATGAAATATTGGTACTTTAGGAATTAAAAATAGCATGTTTTGGAATATTAAAAATAGCTATAGTCATTAACTGTTATATAGATCAAGGTAAAATTTGCTAGTTACATGGAAGTTGAAGGATTTGGAATGTTTATAAACCCATCACTGAGAATTTTAATCTACTTTACTAAATGTGTCTATTACTAGTGAACCTATCTTGTAAATTGACTGTCATTATAACATATGATTAACGACTGATTTTTCTTTTTTTAAATTTATTTTTTTAATTTAATTCAATTTATTGGTACATTCCAGGTAGATAGTACAGTTAGTTACATTCATTACTGGGATCTTGTACCTTTACATGCCAGGTCTTAGAGATTTTTCTTTTAACAAGTGCAAAATTTTGTTTCCTGTTCAAGTGAATTCTTAGTTTTAATTGCAAAATTGTGCGGGGGGGCATCCTGACATTTAAATTTACTGATATATATGAAATGAAAGATTTGAATTTTAAGGATATCATCTTCCTTTTTCATATTCTTTCCTTATTTATTTATTTATTTATTTTTTTTTTAGTTTTTTGAGATCGGGTCTCACTATGTAGTTGAGATTGACCTGGGACTCACTATGTAGCCCAGGCTGGTCTCAAACTCACAGTGATCCTCCTGCCTCAGCCTCCTGAATGCTGGGATTACAGGCGTGCACCACCACATCCCCGCTTTTCTTTCCTTTTGAGTGCATTAAATCTGTTGGTTGTAGCCCTCAATGATGCATGTGTGGCTCATCAGAATGATTCTATATTGAGAAATATTAATATGTAGATATTTTAGTATATATTTATTTCATTCAAGTGGTACTATATTAGTGGGCGGCATAAGGCCTTTTAAATAATTGGGAAATTTAATATTCAATGATGTACTGTTTAGTTTTGAAATCGTCAGCATAGGTCTTATTGATATATTTTCTTTTCATTAGGCAAGAAGTCATGAAATGGAATGGATGGGGATATAATGATTCCAAGTTCTTCTTAAATAAAAAGGGCCAAGTTGAATTGACTGGGAAAAGGTAAGCCTGCTTTGTTTATTCCTTTTAAACATAAAAATAGAAAGAATAATAACAAAACCAATATTTTGCCATAATTTCCTTTTTCTGTAATATTTTAAATTCTGACATTATCATGATCCCTGTAAATGTTTTTTAATAAATAAAACCCAATGAATATAAATAGTATTTTAAAAATTAGTTTCTGAGATACATTAGGGAAGAAATGGTAAAGCTTGGCTTTTCACAATCTTTTGAAGAAAAAAATAAATTTTCTGAATTTAGAAAATCAACTCTCCTTTTAGAAGTTCCCCATTTCTCTTTCTTAGAATTTTGAAGGTGGTACAGTATTTCTACTGTTTGAAAGGGAATAGGTAGTCACATGTATTTTATTTAATTAGCCCAGTATCATTGTAAGCATAAGATGCCTGTAATCCTTTGTAGAATACTCTAGGTAATCTAGTGGTTTCGAGTAGGAGACTATTGCAGTGAGTGATTAGCCACAGAAGATGTTACAGATAACTATACCTTAATGAGCTCCGCAGTCTCAGAAACTTACTTTAGATCTTACTTTCGATGTTCTGGCACTTGATTTATCAGTTTTCCTGGAAGAAACCAGGCTGTTGAGAACTGACCCAAGGGCTACGCCTAGAACTGATACATAGGCCACACTTCTGAGAATTTTACAAATTAGTGTCCTAGTATATTCCTTTACAATAGGTTATCCCTATTTCAGGACTGTCCCTGTTATCAGAGAACAGAATTTGCAATTCACATACTGTTTGGAGAGTGTAAATTCAGAGCAGAAGGAATTTGATGGTTCCAGTAGAGATTTTTATCCAGGCAATAGTAGAACTGGAGAACTTTTCTGCTTTTTTTAGACATTAGAAGACCATTGCCTCGCCACTTTTACCAGAATGGATTCCTTAGAAGGCTAACTTTGCAACTTGACTCAAGGCTTTTCTTTTTAAAAAATCAAACAATTAATTTGATTGACTTGAAACTCGATATTCTGTCCCTTTGTAGTGATGAGCAGCTGAACTGTTGGTTCATTTCTTTTAGCTGGGCTGTTTGGAAGACTCTAATACATATAGTGGTTCAGACATGTGTAATTCAGAGTCAGCCAGACATTTGGACAAAATTGATACATCAGTCCCTCTCTCACTCTGATTTGCTTGTATGCTTTCCAGATGTTGACATCAAACACTCTCCTGGTTGTTCGAGTCAGGAAAACTTGGTTTTTGGTGTTGTTATTACCTTTCATTACCAGTGGGGACTTTCCCTCAGGCTAACACCTGTTTAAAAAACAAGACAAAACTGGAAACTCGCAATGCTTTTTTTTCCCCAAAAGTAGGACAATCCCATTCCTCGTATTTTTGTCTGCTTTGGTCTGCCTATGGTGTTTTTAGATAGCTGGCTTTTGTTTGTTGTTTTATTTTTATTTTTGTACAGAGTGTATAGTTATAGTTGAGAAGGTTGCTTCAATAGGAGCTTTTGGCCACAATGGGAAGCAGAATCTAAATTGCAAATTTAAATGAAATACTTTGCTCTTTTTTGTACCTTAGGTACCCTCTTAGTGGTATGGCTTTACCAGCTCTTAAAGATTGGATCTGGAATACCTTTGGAACAACTCTGGACCATAAAACTACCTCTAAAGTAAGGAAATGAGAATGATTGCTAACAAGCTTATCTGTGTTTTTATCCCAAATTAATTAGGTCTATCTTTGTGATTGGTTGTATTTGCTTTAATATGATTGTCACGGGGCTTTTGTTAGGAAACTATTAATGTTGGCTTTTTTACATTTTCTGGGTGAAGTTTTTTAGTGTTACAGATCTATATACTAATTTCAGAATTTTTATATGAGATTTATTTGGCATAATTTTTTTTATCTTCTTTGATCTTTGGCTATATTGGTTTCAGAAGTGGGAATAATAACTTCTGCCTCTCCCAGGATAGTAGTGAAGTGCCAATTACTATTTGTTGAAAGAACTTTGTTACAAAAGTTAGTTTTTAAATGATAACATTTTAAAATAATAGACTGACAGTAGAGTGCTTTAATTACATTTTTTTTTTTTTTTTGATACCGGGCATTGAACTCAGGACCTTGTGCTTGCAAGGCAGGCAGAGGAACCACTGAGCTAAATCCTTGATCCCTGTAGAGTACTTTAAAATAAAAATATAATGTTACATTTACTGTATTACATGTAGACTATTCGAAGATATAAAAGTATAAAAATTTGATTAAGATATGAATGCACCTGGCTGTAATCTCAGCACTTGGGAGGCTGAGGCAGGAGAATCGCTGTGAGTTTGAGACTAGTCTGTGCTAGTGAGTTTCAGGTCAGTCTCAACTACATAGTGAGATCCTACCTGCCCCCCCCAAATATGAATGGTAAGAATTTTAGTTTGGTCTTTTGGCTGGACTTTTCTGATAGTGGGATTAAAAAATAAATTGAATACATATCATACCAGTGAAATATTTAGTATTTTTTACATTGTTCTTTGTGTTGTTTTGCTATCCATAATATATTCTACCCATCTCTCAAACTGGATATAAGTTCCATGACTACAAGGGCTGTGTCCTACATGACATTCTGCACTGTATCCAGCATGGTATTCAGAGGGATTGGCAGTCAAAGAATACTTGTTAGATTTGTTTTTAAATCTATAGTTATTTTAGTCCATGAATGAAATGACATAACTGAGTAATTAATTCTTATCTCCTCGAAGTAAATTCTTGTAACTTTCTTTTTTCATCTTGTAAATTCTTTTTCTCTTTCATCTATCTGTGATTACTTGTTTTTGATATTGATACAATTAACATAGTGTATTCACAGTTTTCGCTACTTTTAGCTTTTGAATCCTTTTCAATTTTTTTAATAACTTATGATATTAATTGATATACATTGTTGGAGTTCTTTTGGTCATTTCTTCCTACTACAGGATAAATTTTACGAGGTCAAGATTTCTTGTTTTCTGCTTAACTCATTTCTGTGTCCCTACGCCCTTGAACAATACCTAAGTCATAGGAAGTACTCAATATTTATTATATGAATAAATGTAACTTAGTAAGAATCTATTATAGAAATATATTTTTTCTTATATATACTGTTGCTTTTTTTTTTTTTTAACAAATACTGTATCATAGCTTTTTTTCCCCGTAGATTTGATATGCTGGAGATGCTATTAAGTGCTTTTCATACACACGCAGAGACACACAATGGCATATATTACTTGCTTTCCTTATAATCGCCCTACATATTTGGTGGTGATAATTGCATTTAACAGTGACGATAACAAGGCTCACAGAAGTTGAATGACATGCCCAATGTTACATGGTTTTGTTGAGATTTAGATTTCCAGATTCCTGTTTCATGAAATTAAGCATCAAATTTAAAATGATGTCATGAGTTTTAAAGCCTGTAAAATGGTTTTATGACTTATTGTAAACCTTTCTCTTAACCATTTATAATGGTTATTGAAGAATAGGAAATGATAAATTTTATGTGCAAGTAAAAAAGTAGATAATGTAAATCACACGTAGATTTTAAACCAGTCTCCTTAATCTGAAATTGAAGATTTGAGACTTTGTTACCTTACCTTTTCTTTTGTTTGTTTTTTGAGACAGGGTCTCATTATGCTGCTTAGTTCAGGCTGGCCTTGAACTCCTGGAGATCTTTTAGCTCGGCCTCAGTGCTGAGATTACAGGCATGTGCCACTACACCTGGCTTTATCTTACCTGTTCTTTTTCTTTTCTTTGACACAGGGGATAGAACTCAGAACCTTGTATTTGCAAGACAGGCCGTGGCACCACTGAGCTAAATCCCTAACCCTGTCTTACCTGTCCCTTTTTTTTTGGTACTGGGGATCAAACTCAGGATCTGTGCTTAGAAGGCGGGTGCAGAGCCACTGAGCTAAATCCTGGGTCCTCTTACCTGTTCTTGATTTCAGGTTTCTTTTTTTTTTGGTTTTCTGAGACAGAGTGTCACTATATGTTGAGACTGACCTGGAGCTCTTTGTGTAGCCCAGGCTGGCCTCAAACTCACAGCGATCCTCCTGCCTCAGCCTTCTGAGAGCTGGGATTACAGGTGAGTGCTACCACACCCGGCTTTATTGCAGTTTTGATTGCAAAGTAATTAAAATGTGGACTATAGAGACAAGGAGAATACATAGGGCCTCTATAATTTATGTTATAGGATATGATTAACCAGGTGTTTTACAATTTGCAACTGTCAGAAAGTTGATTTTTGTGTGTATTACTTGTTATTTTCTTGTTCCTGTCTTTGAATATAAAAAAAAAATCTACACTTTACAGTCATTTTCTTTAACAAGGCTATTCAAAATTTATTTTTTAGAAATAAACTACCTTTATTTTCTAGACATCCTTAAATCCTAGTGATACACCTCCTTCTATTGTAAATGAAGATTTTCTTCATGAACTTAAAGAAACTAATATTTCATATTCACAAGAGGCAGATGATCGAGTATTTAGAGCTCATGGTAAGCTGTTTTATATTATATTATATTTACTTTTAATTAAAAAATTTTCTCTAAGATGTTTTTGCATTTTTCTTTTTCAAACCACAAAACAGGTCATTGTCTTCATGAGATATTTTTGCTCAGGGAAGGAATGTTTCAGAGAATTCCTGATATAGTTTTATGGCCAAGTAAGTTGCTTTTCCTTTTTATATCATTAAATTAGTATTGTTGAATCTTAGGTGGTAAAAGCAGTGTTTGCAATATATAATTTGTAACATATATTGTAAAAATATTGGTAGCTATATTTTTAAGAGTATCAAAATTCATGAAGCCTTTTCTTTTTAAATTATTATTAGTACACATTTATTATACAGAATATAGACTTCATTGTGACACTTTCAAACATTCATATAATAATCTTTGATCATAACTTTCCCCAATGGAGCCCTATCTTAATCTGATTGTCCTGAACCATTAGCTTTAAGGATTCATTTTGTTATTGATGATTAAGTCTTCGTATTTGTAAATAATTGTATTTGGAGGTCAGTAGAAAAATGTATTTTTGGTTGATTTTGAAGCTTAGTGGAATTATCAAATATATGATATATTCATATATAGAAAATTAACCTGATTGGGTTTCTGTAAACAAATAGTAATTTGTTAATATTAGTTTGGGCTTACAGGCACGGTTAAATGGTAAAACATTATTGAAAATAAATAAATGTATATATATATATATATATATATATATACACACACACACACACACACACACACACACACACACACACACTTACTGCCTTTGAAGTGAGTAAGTTTTGAGAAATTGGATTTGGCTTGAGATAGAAGATGGATCAGCTTTCTGTTGTTATTTTCTTTTTTTTTTGGAGACGATGGATAAGCTTTTTGTTGTTATTTTTTTCTATTTTTTTGGAGACAGGATCTCACTATTCAGTTTAGGCTGACCTTGAACTCACTGTGTAGTTGAGGCTGGCCTCAAATTAGCAGTAATCCTCTTGCTTCAGCCTGAGAGTGCTGGGATTACAGACATGGGCCACTACACCTGGCTTCTGTTGTTATTCTGGTCTTTGTAGGATTAAGTACTAAGTATTTTTTTTTTAAATTCATCTTTTTAGCAGGTTATGTAAAGCAGGACAAGTATACTATTTTTTACTATCCATGATTGCATTTTTTAAAAGTTTCATTGATTTTTCTGATCTTTTTTCTCTTTAGATCTTCTTCAGAGTACATAGAATATTTTTAAAAATACTGAGTCATTCATGCACTCTCAGATCTTAGATAAGATACTTCAATTTGTAGGGACTACTTGAAGGAAAAATGTTTTTGAGCTAAATCCCCGACCCCAAAAATGTATTTTAATGTGGTTATTCAGAAGAGGTAAGATAACAGGAGATAGATTCAAGAGCATATGCAACAGAGATGAAATTTAGTTTGCTTATACTTAGAATATATATTCTTCTGTGCATTTGGATAGTTAGAAAATAATTTTTTGTCTCTTTAGTATAGAAATTTAGTTGTTCATAAGTTTAGTTGTTTCATACCATAAAATAGAAGTAATATTTTTGTTTGCCTGCTTATTTTTCAGTATTTTTACTTGAAGAAATTATTGGACTTGGAGAAAGTTTATTCCATTTTTTAACTGGCAAACAGGAAAGTAAAACTTAGCAATTTTCATTCCCAGAGAAAACTTAATAAATCATCCTTTGATATAGTTTGAGAACTTTCAAGTGTGCCTTTTAGGTATTTTCTTTATGTTTGAATATTAAAATACTGAAAATAACCACGATCTGTGTCTTGCTTTAAGAAATCCAAAAAAATTTTTTGAAACCTCATATTTAGGAAACAGATGAACGTAATCACTTACGACAAAAGAATTTTGTGCTTTGTAAAGTTCTTCACATTTGTTTTGGTTTTTTAAAAAATATTTTTCCTTATCAATTTCCAGTTCAGTCCCCCTTACCCAGTGCATATGTGGATTGTTACAATAGCTTTAAAGGTTTTCAAGTCTCAAGTTTCTTGACCCTTAACACCTCCTATATGCTCTTGGAAGATGGATTTTTGCAAAAAATTCCTTTGCTGGCTCGTTCCATACTTTGACAATATATTAAATGAATGGTGTATTCCTGGATGAATCAAGTTTATAATTCTATTGAATCTCCTGGTATAAAGACCTCTTATAGTTTGTTTTCTATCATATCAGTTTGATGAGGCCTTTATTTAACTTTAATGTAAATTTTCTCTTACAAAATCCAAGTAAGTTTTCCTGTTCATGAAGGCAATTTTTGAGGTAGTGTATTTTGAGACAGTGTAGTAATTTAAAGCAATTCCATTGAGTGGAGGTAGCCTTCCCATGTTACATTTGCATACGCACATACCACTCCCACTCCGAAAGAAATTTGTTATAGTTGACTTTAATCTGAATTGCTTTAACAGGATGTGTAGGAGTTAAGAATTAAGACATATATAACTGCTGTGATTTGAGGTCACCTTAAAGGAAAATTTTCACCTTTAAGACATTTATCCAGCATAGGTATCTCTCATACTTTTCATTGATACCTGAAACCCACAAGTTAAAGGATGAAAGGTTTATTTTAGCTCACAGATTGTAGAGGTTTCATCCTGTAGTTGGCTGGATCCAAGGCAGGGTGGCATACAAAATGGCATTGTAGAAGAGAATAGTTCATAGAATAGCAAGCAGGAGGCATCTGGAATCACAATGAGAATTCCTTTCCCTTTCATCCCATCCAGCTACATGCATATTGGTTGGGGCCACTTACACCCAAGGTAGGCCTTCCCATCGTCCATACCTAGAACTGTGCTAAATCAATCAGTGGACTAATTTAATTCTTAATACATATTCATACATCCTAAGTCCAGCCACCTCGGAAAAGCCCTATCTTATGGGCACATGAGGCTTTAGGAGGACGGTCTACATACAATCCACAGCAATGTTTTACCTTTAGTTTGGATAGATGGTTAGTCACTCATATAATGCATGTTTTTCATGGTAGATAGGCTTAGCAAGCTTAAAATCTTCTTTAGCAATAAGCATGTTTTAGAAATTACTTCATTTATTTAGTATTTATGCACAATTTTCAGTGCCTAATTTCTAGAATTTTAGGCCTGTAGAAATATAGGGTAGGTATTGTTTTAGGTGCTGAGGATAACAGTGAGCAAAACAAAACAAAAAAATCCCTGTTCTTAGCTGCCTTAGGATTTAGTAGGGGGAACAAACAAATATATAGCATTTGGATAGTGATAACAATGAAAAAGAGTGGATGCTGGGTAGAACATGTTATCATGTTTCAAATAAGATGATCAGGTATGTCTTTTGGTTAGGTGATATTCATAGAATGTAATTTTGCCTTTTAAAGATTTTTAACATAAATTTTAGTGTTTTGTTAATGCATAATTTATAATTTTTTTGCTACAAATAGTAAGCTTTATAAAAAGAATCTGAAAGCTTGCAAATGAATTTTCATTAAAAAATTAGAATGGCTCAGTGGTAAATGTATGTTCAGCATATGTGAGAGTTTGGGTTTTATCTCCAGCATCCAAAAAAAAAAGATAAATGACATATATTTCTAGCTTTATGTGAACCCAAGAAATAATAATAGTGACATTTATTCAGCATTAGTTTTGCTTTCATAAATGTATGTTTGTATGTTTAGTTTTCTTAGCATCTGTATTCTCCAGGATCCTACCAGTTAATACTAGACTTTTAACATAGCTTCTTTGCCTCAACTCTTTCTCTTCCCTATTGTCCCATATTCTGTTGGAGATTGCTTTTTCCAAAATAATCTCTTTGCCATGTCCTTTTCCCTCTAAAGAATATCTACTAATGTTCTGTGCCAGTCAAGTTTTAGCATGTCTTAGAATTTAAAATCTTCCACAGTTAAATTTTCATTATTTAGATAACTTTGGCACTAATAATGAAAACCTTTTTGCTGAGTAAAGTATAAAGAAATTTCTCTGCAGGTATATTTTGTATAAAATTTTAACCTTAGTTTAAAAAGCAGAATAAAGGATAAGCAGCAGTGCCAAAATGAGTGGATTCATGTAATGAGAAACATGCTGCATACAATAGTCTGTAGACATTTGTTAATTTTAAAAGAAAATTTATGATCCTTATAAGTAAACCTAGCAGACACTACTTAACCAAATGATTAAAGTTAACATTACCATTACCAGAAACATGATGCATCTGTATCATGTGCCTCCAGAAGTAATGTTCTGAGAAGGGTACAAACACTACTGTGGAATTCTTGATAAAATATGTGATACACACACACACACACACACACACACACACACGCACGCACACATATGTATGTATATATGTGTTTTATTTTTGGTACTGGGGATTGAACTCGGGTCCTTGAACTTGCGAGGCAGGGGGCGGAACCACTGAGCTAAATCCCTGGCCCTATATATTTTTATATACATAGTTTAATCTTGAGTAAACATGTGCAAACCCAAATTTAGAGAAATATTCTGTGACATAACTGACTAGTATTCTTCAAAAATGTGGTCAGGAAAATCACAGATAGACTCAAGAAATATTTATTTTAATTTTTTTTACAGTGCTAGGATTGAAACCAGGGCCTTATGGCATTAAAAAAATATCTATTTTAATGAAAATATGATAGCTAAATCAATGTGTGAGCTTGGATTTGATATGCTGATCCAGGAAGGGGGTGTTAATGGGACAACTGGCAACATTTGAGTGAGGTCTATAGCTTAGTTAATTGCTTTGTATTGTGCTCATTGGTTGGTTCTGACTATTATGTAAGATATTCATGTTTGGAAATGTAAGGCGAAGGAAATCTTTATATTATTTTCATGGCTTTTTTATAAGTCAAATCATTTCAAAATGAAAGGTTGAAAAGAACCCATCTTTTAATATAGTTGTTTCATTTGTTAATCAGTGAGTAAATGAAAGAAAAATTTACATGCTAAAGAACTTTATAAATGTTTGTTTTATAAAAGGTTACCCAGATCTTAATCACATCCAAGTAATTAATTTATTTTCCTTTCGTTTCAACAGCTTGTCATGATGATGTAGTTAAGATTGTGAATCTAGCCTGCAAATACAACCTTTGCATCATACCAATTGGCGGTAGGTATTGTGCTTTTCAAATTGTAATGATGTAAATTTGTTCTATTTAAAATATTTATGTCATCCCCTGAATACAAACATTTTTGCAATTATGATGTGTTCATTTTCAAAAATTGGTTTATGGTGCTCATTTCTGTTCTAAGGAGTTCTATCTAAACTGTTTAAGACATAGTATAATTCATGGATGTTTTCCAGTATAGATCAGAAGCTGTTCTGTGATGGCTGATAAAGAAGCCGCTCCTAGACAGGCATGGTGGTGCAGGCCTGTAGTCTTCGTACTCTGGGAGGCAGGGGCAGAGGGGCAGAGGGGCAGAGAGGCAGAGAGGCAGAGGCAGGACAATTGCAAGTTTCACCTTAGGCTGGGCAATTTAGCAACTTGATGAGACTCTCTCAAAATACAGAATAAAGACATGCAGCTTAGCATTTAAAAAGGAAAAGTTCTTGCTGTAGTAATTACTTTCTTTTGTTTTCTTTTTCTGGTACTGGTGATCGAATTCAGGACTTTGAGCTTTCCAGGCAGGCCCAGTGCCACTCAGCTACATCCTTGGCCCAGTAATTACTTTCTAACCATTATGTTTATGGAGAAAATTTTATTTTTCAAAGGGAAAATATAATTGTACCCAGTTTTTTGAGAAACAGAGTAATCAGAAAACATAATTCAGATGAAAAGATCACCAGTATAGTAATAAATAAATAAATACTTTTAATACAGAAAAATAAGTTTTTCACTTTAAAATGAATTTGATTTCTTTTGATCTTTTATTAACTACATTGTTTTAACAACTTATTTGGTGTAATCAAAATATATGATTTGTGTTTAAATTAAAAAATAAATGATTATAATGAAAGATACATTGCATTAATACCCCTCAAAAATACTCCTTATTTCACGTGTATCCCCTTCTTGGCACACTCTGAAGCAGGTCTAGAAGTACTCGGTGAATATCTTTGATGGCACTGTCATGGATGCCTCACTGTCATGAATTGATTAAAACGTTTATTTCTGTCAAATAAAACATTATGGTGTGTCCTCATCCACCTTATTCACTGGGTCTGGTACCTTGTAACTTTGGCTTTTCCCCAAAGTCAAAAGGACCATGAAGGTAAACATTTTAAATTTAATCAGAGATCAAGGCAGCCATGATAGCGGCAACCAAAGACACTCAGGAAAGATGATGTATTTTAGAGCTGCTTCAGAAAGTGGGAAGAAAGAAGGAAGCCAAGAGGAGTATTTTGAGGGGGATTGATGGTAATGTATCTCTTACTGTGATAAATGAAAAAAAGTCATATTTTTCAGTCACAATATATAGCCAAGGGGTGTTACTTTCAGTGATCAAATTGGCATTGATGAATGAAAATGTGACCTCAGCAGTTCCCAGAGCTCTAGGTTCCCTTTTCAGCTGATATTATCTGTTGAATTCATGTAAAAGACGCTATAGTGCCACTCTGTATGAAATATTTTTCTGATTGTAAGTGACAGTACGGCAAATAGTAGTTGCTGTTCAAAGGTATTATGTTTGTTACTGGCAGTTCATGGTCTGATCTTGTGAAATTAAGCTGCTCCATACAGATAAACATCCCCTAGATAACCCCAGATGAATACTTCTCTTTTTAGGGACGGTGACCTCCACATTTTCTTCTACACAAAATATATGGAAGTACCAATTAAAATTTTATTCTGCTATAGGGTGATGCAGATCTAATTAAGAGTTGAGGGCTGGGATGTACCTCAGTGGCATTTGCACCTGCCTGGCGAGTACAAGGTCCTGAGTTCGATCCCCCATACAGGGGAGGGGGTACTGAAAACATTATTCTTTATTGGTTTCAAAAAACATTTTTCTTTTGTGGCACATATTAAGAGAAAACAGCAGTATATTGTTTAAACACGTCTATACACCATTCTATATTAAAATCACCTTTTCATAAAAAATATAAAAATTACATTTAAATGTATAGTCTAGACACTTTAACTTGTTTCTATTCTAGAAAAGCCCTTTTATATGAGAATATAAGTTATTATTTTAAATGCTAAATGAATCTCATAATTGAGGTAGAAAGGACTTACTGGTATCTCTAGTTGTGTATGATGACTCTTTTTCTATTTTTAATTACTTCACAGTAATCATTAGCTTAGAACTTTTCTGATTATGTTTTTGGTACGTGTGCTGCCAAAGTGAGCCACATAATTATGTTTTTGGAGTCCTACAAATTGCTAGGGACTTCACTTGAGTGTATCATGTCCAGGGGATAGAGCCATGTCCCATTACTTTCAGTTCCATAATACTGCTTCATTTTGGCACACAGCATAAAATAAAGGTGAGTTTGCTTTTAGTGTGTTACCTTTTGCAAACTATATTTTGCAATAGAAATAGGTGTGACTTTTTTACTGGGTTTAACTGTATATTTTTAGAGATTTGCCCTAGAAATACAGCTGAAAGTAAAAGATTAGATATAAAGTTGTTTCCTCTTTTGGCAGGAGGAACAAGTGTTTCATATGGCTTAATGTGTCCTGCAGATGAGACAAGAACAATAATTTCTTTGGATACTTCACAAATGGTATGCAATAATTTAAGATGTATTTGAAGATAGTTTCTGTTTAAAACATTGTTCTTATGGTTCTGCCTCAGTTGTCATTTTAAAAAGATCTGTTTTCTATTTTGTTTTATTTTTATTATTATTTATGGTTGACCTATAATTGTTTTATCATGTGTATTTTTATAATTAAATTTATTGGTACATTTTAGGTATACATAATGATCACATTCATCATAGGGAATTTGTATCTGTACATGATATATCTTGAGTTTTTGTTTTTCCCATTTCCCTATCTTCCCTTCAGGTCCTCTTCCCCTCATTTACAAAAGCTTTGTTTCCAGTTTTGCCTTCTTTTTTCATTTTGTTTTTAAAAGCATTTCATCATTATATATTAGCCTTATCTTCAGCTATCCAAAACTAAGTTCATTTACCTAAGGTACATATCTTAATGTTATTCTACCAAATTAGCATGTGAAATTGATCATTTGAGTATCATAAATTGGAATATTGACACATTAGGTAAGCTGGCTTCTATTATTAGAAACAGAATAGATAATAGATAATATTACTTAATTTTAATTTGAATAACCCAAACTCAATTTCTCTCCCAAATTTACACTAATACTGTTACTTTTTTTTTTTTTTTTTTTTTGGTATGGGAATTAAACTTGGGACCTTGTGCTTACAAGAAAGGCGCAGTACCACTGAGTGAAATCCCTGGCCCAATGCTGTTACATTTCTGTGTGAGGATTTGTGAAAGGTGTAATTTTAATGATAAGAGAATTTTTTAAAGTTTAGACTCATTGTTGTTTAAGAGTTGAGAATTGAACCTAGGGCCTTCACACTGAATTACATCCCCGCCATTTTTTAATTTTTTATTTGAGACAAGAAAGGCGCAGTACCACTGAGTGAAATCCCTGGCCCAATGCTGTTACATTTCTGTGTGAGGATTTGTGAAAGGTGTAATTTTAATGATAAGATTATTTTTTAAAGTTTAGACTCATTGTTGTTTAAGAGTTGAGAATTGAACCTAGGGCCTTCACACTGAATTACATCCCCGCCATTTTTTAATTTTTTATTTGAGACAAGATCTCACTAAGATGTTCACTTATACAGGATGGGCCTCTGCCTCAGAATACTGGAATTACAGGTGTGTGTCCCATCAGGTCCAGCTAAGAAGTCTATTTTTAGTAGTAGAAAATAATTTTGTATTTACATTTGTGTGTGTGTGTGTGTGTGTGTGTGTGTGTGTGTGAAGACTAGACAGTTACTTGCATAAGCTAAGAGGTGAAATTAATTCAGATTAATACCTGCATAAAGAAGAGTCTATTTCAAGACAACGGTACATCATATACTGCCTTTGTTGCTATATAATGTTATACACTGAAGGATAGGAGGAGCATGTTTCCCATGTGGTTGGTAGTGGGGAACCCTACTTCCTTGATCACTGCCTTGTAACTTTTTGCTTAGAATTAAGAAGTTATATCCTTTTGGAGAAAATCTTAATAGTTCCTAGAGGTGAGAATTCTGTCTTCCTTTACAGAATCGAATTCTCTGGGTTGATGAGAACAATCTGACAGCTCATGTAGAGGCTGGTATAACAGGACAAGAGTTGGAAAGACAGGTATGTTATCCCTTTTATTAAGGTTTTTAAAACTGCTGTGTCCTCTTTCATGATACATTCTTTCACTCAGTGAATTTGCTCAGCTTCTGATGTGAATCAGGCATTGAGCAAGGTATGGTAACAGCTTTTGTAAAGAAAAATAAGAGAGTTCAGTTTGTTGGTGCTTTATGAACCACTGTGTCCATCTTAGGTCATAGAGCCCTGTTTCTCCCTAAATTTTTACTAGAGCATGGAGAAAGATGTGATGTGATTGTTGATCTCATCTCTTTTGGTTTTTTTCCCTTCTTTCTTCAGATGTTTTTTGAAGTTGATTTTCTTGTGACCAACTCTGCTTGAAAGGGTTCAAAAATTGAGCTGTTTTATTTTTTACTTAATGCAGTAAGGTACAGAGAAATACAATAAAGCTGAACATTTTTACTGAAGAGTTGTCGAACATTTTCAAATAAATTATGGTTTTTACATAAGTGAAGATGAGGAGAGTTGTTAATTATAGCATATAATCATAGCTTAAGTGAGCAAAATGTAATATTTAGTGAAAAGTCTGTAAAAAGTCCTGTATTCATCTTCCATTGTGTCTGTATAAGGCATTATCAATACAACACTCTTTTAAATAATGAAGAATGGCCTTTTATACATCCAATTATATATCTAAGTTTTATCTTTTTTTTTTAAAGGTAAGAATTAATATTCAAGGAAGGTTTTCCCTTGAAATTTAAATGACAACTTCTGATAATTTTTCCTACTGGTTTGTTTCCCTAATTGCCAATGTTGAACTTTTTTTGTTCCTGTAGTAGACTATAATGTAGTTTCTGCAGCTATTTTTTCTCAGTTTAACATCTTCTTCATTAAATTTTTGTGTCCTTCAGTTTCTGATTCAAATGAGATAACCAGTTTAAAAATGTCCTGCCCTTTTCTTCTTAAAAAAATACAGTAATCGGGTAGCAGATTTTAATCTTTCTTAGCTTGTAAATTGCTTTGATTTTAATATGCATAAAACTTGAGGAAAGTCACTAAGGATCAGTTATGATTGGGGAATTTTTTTCAGATTTATTAAATCTTTGGCTGCTTTATTACTTAGCAGTCTGGGGATATGTGACTTTAATTTTTTCCTTAGGGTCTACATCACTAATAAACATCAGATTATCTTTCTTTGTTTTTTAAGAGCTATTACCTCTTACCAAACTTCAGCTATAATTCCTAGATGTGTGGGCTTGGGCAAATTACTATCCTTTATTCTATAGTTTTAAATTGGAGATGATCCTACTTCTTAAGGTTGTTGTTAGGATGAAACAATAAAGTAATTAGAACTGTGGTTCATTTCTCTTATTTTTATTGAGCATTATCTGTTTTATTCAAGCATAGTTTACTCTAAATATTCCCTTTATATGCTGAAGACTTCCAAATTTGTATTGTTAACCCAGACTGTAGAATCACAGACCTGGATATATAGTTTCCTAGTTGATTCTCCATTTAGATATTAGATAGACTTTATAAATTCAACATTGTATTTATTTTTATTAGTACATGTTTGTAGTACATAATGTTTACATTCCTTGTGCTGAGTTGGTATAGGTATATAACACCCCTTAATTCCTTTTTTCATCCCTTTCCTCATACCCATCTCTTGATCCTCTTACTGTTTGAGAAAGACCTATTTTCTTACTTCTTATTATCTATCTTTTATTTTGCTCTGAATTTAAATTTGGGTTTTTCATATGAGAGAAACCATGTGTTATTTAAGCTTGTGTCTCCTGATTTATTTTCCTTAACATAATCCCAAGGTACATCCATTTTCTTACACATGACCCAAGTTTATCTTTTTTTATGGCATAGTGCACCATTATTTGTAAATACCACATTTTCTTCAATTACTTTTATGATTATGATTATTATTTTGGTATCAGTGATTGAACTCCAGATCTTGTGCTTGCCAGGCAGCAAACAGAACCCCTGAGCTAAATCCCTGGCCCTCACATTTTCTTTATCTGTTATTTGCTGATGGACATATAGGCCACTTCTAAGATTTAGCTATTATATATATATATATATATATATATATGAATTATAAAGTTTAACATGAACGATAAACCAATACAATACAATTTCTAGAAGATACTATGAGAAATTATGTTTTTGAGGAGTAGGGCACTATTCCTAACTTAAGACACAACAAGCATTAACCACAAGGAGAAAGAAATTGGACTGAATTAAAATGAGAAACTTATACAAGCCAGATGTGGTAGCACACACCTGCAATCCCAGTGCTCTGAGAGGCTGAGGCAGG